ACACTCCCTGGACACTCCCTAGACACTCCCTAGACACTCCCTTGACACTCCCTTGACACTCCCTGTCCACTCCCTAGGCGCCGCGGGCGAGGCTTGCGGGGGAGAGCAGACCGCTCGAAGGTGCTGCCCAGCAGCGAGACGACGCGGCCTCCAGCGACGTAGAGGACGCGGCAGGCGCCCTTGGCCCGCTCGACGCGGAGCAGCTTGACGGCCTGCTCACGCCACGGGAGAGTCTAGGAGGTGTCTAGGGAGTGTCTAGGGAGTGTCAAGGGAGTGTCTAGGGAGTGTCTAGGGAGTGTCTAGGGAGTGTCTAGGGAGTGTCTAGGGAGTGTCTAGGGAGTGTCTAGGGAGTGTCTAGGGAGTGTCTAGGGAGTGTCTAGGGAGTGTCTAGGAAGTGTCGGCAGGGTCAGCGACGTGCTGCTGGTTGGGCGGCGTCGCGGGTCCCTCTTATTTTTGGGGGGGGGGGGGGGGGGCTCTTGCCCTCCCGGAAGGAAGCGTGCCCGGTCTCTCCCAAACACCTCGTGAGGCGCGTCCTGCGGCGGAGGGGGGAGGGGGGAGGGGAGGGGGGTTCTCGGGGCGCGAGCGTCATGCGGATGGGGGCGGGCGGAGAGCGGGGGGGTGGGGGGGACCATTTGCGTCTCGTCGTTGGCGTTTGGAGCGCAGTGGCGGTAGCAGCAGTCCTTGCCGTAGATGCAGTGGCCGCGCGCAAAGTGGAGGCAGATGACGGCGCCTAAGACCACGCACCGGCCGCCTCAGGAGCCACCGCATCAAGCGGCAGAGGAGGCGGCGGCGCGCCCGGGTTGGTGTAGTCAGCTCGCGTGAGGCCGGCGTCCGTCTCGAGCACGCAGCGGGTCGACGCGCGAGGGGCGCGCTCGTAGTTGTTTTCGCCGCTCCAGCGGTGGTACCAGATGTTGTACTCGCCGAGGTGCTCCGCTTGCTGCAGCTTCCGCTTCTGCTCGACCTGGACCCGCGCTGGCCGGTCGGGCAGCACCGGCATGGCTTGCGACTCGATGAACTGGAGCGTGCCATACACGGGACGGTGGTGTCCGTACTTCATCTCGCGCCCAGCGGTGCGCGACGTGGCAGCGCGAGAGGCGGCGAAGGCCTTTGTGGGATCGAGCATGGGGATGCGGGGCGAGGACGTGCGGGCGAAGATGCCGCAGCGGGAGTCGAGCGCGCCTCGGATCCAGCGCTTGCTGCTCAAAAAGAATTTCACGGCCCGCAAGGGACTCGCGCGCACGGAACACAATACACCAAGGGAGCCGCTGAAAAAGAATTTTCTTGCATTTTTGCTCTCTGGCTAAGAGAGCAAGCCGAAGAGAGCAAGACGGCTAGCGCACCACACCCCTCTCCTTAAAATCCCTGTGTGGTGGCGGCGTGCCGTCCTCCCACCCCTCCCTTGAATTGTCCGTTTTCTTTCTTTCTTTAAAAAGGCCTATTTCCAGCTTGGGGACGTGCGTCGGACCTGGCGCCTCCCAGGCCCGCCGCAGCGGTCCCATGGGTACCTGCCGTCCGTACCGGTCCACGGGCTGGCCCTGGGCACATTCCGGTCTCGGTGTTGCTGTCGGCGGCCGGCAGCCCTCGGGGGTCGAGTCGCAGGATGTCGCAAAACTTTGCCACACGTGCTCGAGCGTCAAGCTTCCGGTGTCCCCAGTGCCAGTCGCAACTACCTCCGGCGAGGTGGCTGACGTTGCACAATCACGTCGGTGGCGCACGCGGAGAGCACCAGTGCTCTTTCGGTGGGCTTTCGTGGGGTGGTGTACGACACGCATTGAGAGGAGTCGAGAAGCAGCGGCTGTGGGGCTTCCACGGCTGCCAAAGGGTGGTTCACGACTACTCTGAGCAGGGCTGTGCTTTGGTCGGGTTGTGCTTGAGCATGTGTGATCTGAAGTGGGAGTGCGTGCCGGCGGTGTCTGTGGGTGAAACGGGCGTGTATGAGGCCGTAAGAGCCGTGGTATGAGCCAGAGTGGGCTTCATCACCCAAAATAATAAATAAATAAATAAATAAAACAGACATCCCAAGCTAGGGCTGGGTCGAGGACAGACACGTCCCCACCTTTGCAGGATTTTGCAAAAGCGAGGGGGGAGGGCGCATCGGCCATCGCGGCGCGGAGAGGGCTGGGCACGGGCACAGGGGGTCTCTCTCGCATAGGATACGCACTCGGCGGCACGAGGGCAGGGCTGGGCGTCCTATTTGTGCTGCCCTCCGTATTAAATAAGAAAGAAAGAAAGAAAGAAAACAGACACGCCAAACGAGGGATGGGACGAGGACAGGGTCCCCACCTGCACGAGCAGGATTTTGGAAGGACGATCAGGGGGACAGGTGGGGCTCTCCTGCTTAAATAAGGACGGTTTGGGAGGGCTGCCTAAATTTCTTTTACTGCGGGCCTCGCCCCCGGCGCCATGCCTCTCCGACCCACCGCTGGGCCGGCCGCCTCAACGGCGGCCGGCAGCGCGCCGCCCGTGCTGACGAAGAAGGTCGCCGCGGCGGCGGAGGCAGGCAAGGTTGGCGTGGTGCAGACGTGGCTCACCGGGGCTGGGCGGGTTGACGCGACGTGCAAGCGTCGCGGGTTGAGCGGCTGTACGCTCCTGACGATCGCCGCCACTAACGGTCACAAACAGCTGGTCGAACTGCTGCTGAAGCGTGGCGCTGAGGTGAATGCGCGAGACAGCGAAGGCGGCAACGCGCTGATGGCCGCCGCCACCAACGGCCACGAACGGGAGGTCGACTTGCTGATACGGCGCGGCGCTGACGTCAATCTGCAGAGCAGCCACAGTAGCGACGGCTGGACTGCGCTCGCGATCGCCGCCTACTACGGCCACTCCGCGATCGTGCTCCGCCTGCTGCGGGCGGGCGCAGACATGACGCTGCGCACTGTGGACGGCAAGTCCGCGCTGCAGTGGGCCAGGGCGAAGGGCCACACCGAGTGCATCGAGGCGTTCCGGCAGCACCTCCGGGGGTTGACGGCGGGGAGGGGCGAGGCGGGTGAGGCGGCGGCGGCAGCGATTGACGCGGCCTTTTCTGGCTCGGGCGAGGTCGCAGTCCCCGGCGAGATCCTGGCTGCGGCTGATGGGGGTAATGAGGCGGCAGTGCTGGCGTGGCTCGACGGCGGCGGGCGGATCGACGCGACGTTCACTTTTGAGGGTGTGAGCGGCAATACACTGCTGATGTTCGCTGCCCAGAAGGGACGCAAGCGGCTGGTCGTGACGTTACTGCGGCGTGGCGCTTCGACCGACCTTCAGAACAGCGAAGGCTGCACCGCGCTGATGCTCGCCGCCGACCAAGGCCAGGAGCGGGTGGTCGACTTACTTCTGCAGCACGGGACGGAGATCAACCTGCAGGACAACAAGGGCAGGCCCGCGCTGATGCTCGCCGCCATCGACGGCCACGAGATTGTGGTCGACACGCTGATTCGGCACGGCGCGGAGGTCAACTTGCAGAAGAGCAACGGCTTCACCGCGCTGATGACCGCCGCCGACCTCAACCACCCCGCCGTCGTGTTCCGCCTGCTGCGGGCGGGCGCCGACGCGACGCTGCGCACGGCGGCTGGACACACGGCGCTGTGTTTTGCCAAGGCGAAGGGCCACGCCAAGTGCGTGCGCGCCCTCGAGAAGCATTTGACAGCCGAGGTGGCGGCCGAGAAGGAGGCAGAGAGGGAGGAAGAACGGGCGGCGGAGCGGGCGGCGGCGGAGGCGGAGGCGGCGCGGCACGCAAAGGAGCTGCTAGCGGAGGTCGAGGCGGAGAAGCGCGCCAAGAAGAAGGGCAAGAAGAAGAAGAAGAAGGGCGGCGGGAGCGGCGGCGCTGGGCCGTCGCAGGAGCCCGAGGCGGAGGCGGAGGCGGCGGCGACAGCCAAGCCCGCGAAGCTGGACAGGGAGGGGATGCTCAAGCTTCTCGAAACGCTCACCGAGGAGCGGATTCGGTTCGGCATCACGCCGGAGACGTCGGTCGAGGGGCTGGCCGAGGCGTTGGGAGAGGAGGCGGAGGTGAGCGAGGAGGCGGGCGAGGAGGCGGGCGAGGAGGAGGACGAGGAGGAGACAGCGGAGGCGGCAGCGGAGGCGGCAGCGGAGGCGCGCCGGGAGGCTGAGGCCGAGGCAGACGCTGTGGCAACGGATGAGGAGGAGGCGGCCGCGGCAGCGGAGGAGGAGGCAGCGACGGCGGCGGCGCAGGCGTCGGCTGCGGCAGCGGCAGCAGTGGCGGCAGCGGCGGCGGCGGAGGCGACGCTCGCCGCCGCCAAGGCGAGGCGCGCGTCAGCGGCCGCTGCGAGGGCCAGGGCGGCAGCCGACTAGCCGCGCGCAACCGGGGCTGCACCGGCGCAGTGGCAACCACAGAAGAAAGGCCTCTCGTACTGACATTGGGGTGGAGCGCTACTCGTGCTGTGTTGAGTTTTGTGACACTCACGTTGGTTCTTGGTCATGAGTCAGCCCAGTGGGGGAATCGCAATGAGGTCGGAGGGTCCCTAGTTCGTACAGTAGCACGAATCCCCGGCCTCGGACACACCTCACACGCACTCGCGGACACGGCATTCTACAATGGCTACTTTATAGAAAAAATTGCGTTTGCGAGTGCCGTCTCGCGTCTCCGTCTGCCGACCGGACCGCGCCGTGAAACACAAAGCTTGTGGATTGTGCTGGGACCTGGGTGCTGGGAGCCCCCGCACGGGCGGCAGGCCGCGGCGCGGTGCTACATCGACAGGCCCAAAGGTAAGCCTGAAATGATCGGAGCGCTGTGTAACGAGTGTACGATTTGATTACTCTTTGACTTGAGGTTTTGGTTCCCAGAGGACCCTGCCTCTGGGAACCAAAACCAAGTCAAAGAGTAATCAAATCCTACACTCGACTCATACATCAGCTCGCTAGCTGGTGCACCAAAATAAACACAGCGGCTTTGCCTTGGTTACACTAGAATCGGGGCCGCCCGCGAGCGCGAGCACGTGCGGGCGGAGGAGGAGCCGGCTCGGCGGGCGGGCGCGGGCGCGGGCGCATTACTTGGCGGCGCTTCTGCGGCGCTGACGCCGGGGAGATGCCGGCGTAGAACGGGTGAGCCCTTGCTTCAGCCCTGCGATCGGGCGGCGCCGAGGGCGGGGGCAGGGTGAGCGTGCCGCCATCTCCTGGCTGAGCGCCCGCAAGCTCCTCGGACGCCGGGCGCGCGAGGCCGGCCGCGCCGTCCTTTCGCGAGGCGTCCTCCGGGCCGCTGCTGCGGCCGTCCGCGGCACCGGCGTGTTGGCGCGAGGCGTGCTGCTCATCGAGCGGGAAGAGGGCAACGCCGTAGGAGGCGCGGCCGACCGTGAGCGTGGCGCCCGGAGTCAGCATGGGCGTCGAGGGCTGGCTTCCGAGCCGCGAGAGCTCGGCGTAGAGCTGGGCGATGAGCGAGCGCTGCGACTGCATCATGGAGCGCAGCTCTTCGACGGTGCCGAAGGTGTTTGGCTCGCTCCCATCGGAGATGTGGAGCAGGAGGCAGCACGCGTCGATCCGCGTGCCGCTGGGCGAGCGCAGGTGCAGGCAGCGGTAGCCGCAGCGGAGGGAGCCGAGCACCGCCGTCTCGTACGCCACCAGCCGCCCCTCGTCTTCCACCACCACCCGGAGGATGGTCTGGTTAGGCTCGGCCGCGAGGCAGTGGAAGGTCTCGTCGAAGGTTGGGTTGAGGCCGTTGCCCTCCGCGACCGCAGTTGTGAGCCGGGTCACGCCTTGCGCCTCGGGCGGCGGCTGCGGCTCGCGCGCGACGGCGCAGAAGCCTCCAATTGCGTGGAGCTCGACGGCGACGCGCGGGCTCGACACGGAGGCCCGGGCCCCGCCGGGCGGGCGGGGGCTGTCGCTGAGGTGCGAAGCAAAGGCGTGGTGCGGCTCGGCGAGCAGCGGCCGGCACTCGTCCCGCGTCGGGAGCTGGTGCAGGGAGAGGACCTACGCGACGGTGGGTCGCTCGGTGAGCTGACTAGAGGGAGGGCCGAACGGGGCGGCAAGCAAGGCGCGGCCTTCAGGCTCGTTCGACGCACCTCCTCCCGCGGCGGTGGCCACAGCGGCTTGCCCCGCCCCGAGGCCGCTGTGGCGGGGGCGCCGAGCCGTGACGACTCCTTGAGCAGGGGCCTCACCTCCGAGGCTGCACGCGCCAAGCCTCCACCGCCGCTCTCTTCGCGCGACAGGCGACCGCAGAGCGAGCTATCGCGATCCTTCCGGGCCGAGGGTGGGGGCGGCTGCTCGAGCGTGCGGAGCGCCGCTGGCTTGAGGACGTAGCCGCCGCTGTCGCGAAAGAGAGCGTGGTTGAGCTGCACCGGCAAGTCGTTGGTCTGCATGTTGAGCGCCGCCATCTGCACGCCCGCGCGCCACGCCGTCTGTCGAGAGGGGAGGGCCGGTGAGGGAGGTCTCTCGCCGAAGGTGCTCGACACGACCAGTCGGAGGGAAGGAGAACCGTAGACGCGGGTCAGCGGCGGGGGCGAGGGCGGGGACGCTCACCAGCGGGTTCGGGTTGGTCGACGACCATCGAGTCGGAGAGGGGAAGGTCCGCACGAGCTCGCTGGCCGTGGCGGGCAGCCAACCGCCTTCCTCGCTCGCCAGCCGCTCCAGCCGCTCCTCGACCAGGCTGACGACGCCGCCGCCCGGTGCCGAGGTGCCCGAGCACTCGCTCTCCTCGGCCTCACTTATCGGCAGCGGTCGGCAAAAGGAGGTCGTGGGCAGCGTGACGAGGGTGCGGAGGAGCGGGTCCGTGGTCACCCCTCCCTTGTCGAGCCGCATCTTGATGAGGACCTACAGTCGAGATGTGCCCGAGATATGCCCCAAGGTGTGCCCGAGACCCCTTTAGCCGCATCTTGACGAGGACCTTCCGGTGCAGCTCGCGGAGGGGCGTGCTCGCGACGCGGTCGCTGCGCGAAAGAAGGTCGCCCAGCCTGTCGATGAGCTCGTTGGCGATCTTCTCCTGCTGCTTCGTCGAGCAGTGCATCTCGAGGCTCAGGATCACGGGCAGGGGGCTGGAGGTGAAGGCGTGCTCAGCTATCGCAGCGACCACGTCGCCAAAGGCGACGCTCCCGCAGAAGAGTCTGACCCCTCCCGACATTCGGTGCGTGACGCGCGGGCCCCACCAACCGTCCCAGCAGTCGATCTCGAGGCAGCGAGTCCCCGAGAGCAGGAGGCGGCGGTACATATCGGCCGAGGCCGCAGAGGTGAGCTGGTCGCCCTCGAGGAAGGTGTTGTGCGAGCTGCTGATCCAGTAGCTCGACAGCGGCTCAGTCGCGTCCGTGGGGGCGCGCCCTCGCCCGACGGCGCTGTTGCACGGCGAGAGCAGCAGCGCGGCGAACTCGTGCACCGAGACAGGCTCCGACTCCTCCATGCTCTCCGTGGTGGCCTCGTTTGGCCTGGTGGCGCGGAGGGCTGCCTTCCACTCCTCCCACAGACTGCGGCCCCCCGCGCCCTGCTCGTTGAGGCAGAAGCGAAGCAGGTCCCCCAAGCTCAGCGACGCTTCTGACCGCTCCTTGCTGGGAATCCTACCCGCCGAGAATGCCCTGATGAGCATCCAACCCGCCTCGGGGTCTGAGTGCTCGCACATGTCAGCTGAGTACTCGAACATGTCAGCGCAAAGGCCGTGCTGGTGCGTGCTGCTGGAAGAGGCGAGCAGCGCCTCGATGAAGGGCGTGGTGTTCCGCGTCGCCTGCAGCCACTCCCGAAGCTGTGCGGCCTCGCGCGCGGACGTCCCCCACAGCTTCTGCTCCAGCACCGAGCGCTGCTCGACAAACGGACGCCTCTCGATGTCGGGCGGGCCCTCGGTCGGCTCCTTGTTCGCCCTGCGGCAGATTCGCGCCCACACGGCGTGCGGCGCAGCGGCGGGGCGCATACCGGGAAGGACGGGCAGATGTGTCCAAGCCCAGCGGCAGGTCCGCCGCACCCCTCGCGCGGCGCCAACGCCGAGGCGAGCGGGAGCGCTCCGCTCGACCCACATGCCGAGGAGGGTCCACGCGCTCGTGTCGTGCGCCGCGGCGACGCGCAGCAGCAGCCGGAACGTGGTGACGCAGAGCAAGAGCACGCACATCGCCAGGACGGCGCAGAAAGCAACGGTGGTCAACATTACCACCTCCATCTGCTCCGGTGGCGGCGGCGCAAGCGGCGGAGGCGGAGGCGGCGGAGGCGGCGGCGCAAGCGGCGGCGGCGCAGGCGGCGGCGGCGCACAGTTGACCTTCACGTCGCTCATCGTGCATCTTTCGCCATTGACGAGGCAGGCCGACCACAGGCCGACCACTCCATCTCTCACCTTCGCACTGCCGACGCAGCTCTCCATGTGGAGGTCGGCGCAGCCTCGGCGGAAAGTAGTGATGGGGATGAGCGAGCATACGTTGAGGAGAAGCGGCTGCTCGGGTGGCGGCGGCGGCGCTGATGGCTGCGCGCACTCGACAGCCTCGTCACTCATGATACATTCATCTCCGCTGACGAGGCATGCAGACCACAGGCCGTTGGCTCGCACCTTGGCGCGCTTCGCGCAACGTGCCGAAGAGACCTTCGCACAAGAATAGAGCTCTCTTGTGATTGGGCTGAGCGTGCACGTAGCATTTCGCATCAGCGATGGAGGCGAGGCAAGGTCTCGGGCGATCCAGCGTCTCTTCAATGCGGGTGCGCGCATTCTCGGCTATCACGCGTAGCTTTTTCTTTTGCCTCTATTTGCTCTATTTTCGCTGCGTACTTGTTGTGGTCGCGCCCTTTTAGCTAAAGCGAGTGCCTGCTCCGTACGCCTCGCTGATGTACCGCCACGTGGCGGGCTCAGGCTCTTGACCCTGCCGCTCGTACGAGTGGGCATTGTTGTACTGCGCGAGGCCGTAATCGCCCGATGGCGGATCCCACCGCACGCCGAAATCAGACTCGCCGTGTTGTGCGTCGCGGGGCCACGCGTTCCACGCGTCGTCCTCGTCCTCGCGTCTGATGACCCTCCGTTCGCTCCAAACGCAAGCCCAAACAAGCCACCGCCCATCCGCCGCCGCCGCCGCCGCTCCACCTCGGGCCGGCGTGTCAGCGCGAGCAGCGCGCGCCCGGCGGGGTCCCACGCCAAGTGCTCCACCCTCGCGTTGCCGGTCGCCAGTTCGTGCACGCAGCGGCCCGTGTGGCGCAGGTCCCACAGCCGCACGGCGCAGTCGCTCGCGCCGGTGAAGAGCAGCGGCGTGCCGCCGACGGGGGCAAACGCCAGCGCGCTGGTATCTTCTTTTTACAACTGTATTTCGATGACTGAATATTATTATGAACAGCTTTTTCTCTTGGCCTGCGTATATGGTGCTCGCTCACGCTGCGCTGTGCTCGCTCAGCGTGGTTCTCTCGCCGTCGCACTTTTCCCGCAGCGCCGCTGCCTCCTTTGCCCGCACGCCCGCTGCGTCCTTTGCCCGCACGCCGGGCTCGAGCACGGCGCCGCTGGCCAGGTGCAGAGCCGCTGCTGCCGCTCCGCCGCGAGCGGCGGCGCGCATGTCGGGAGAGCCGCCGGCGGTGGAGCGTGTGTTTGATGGGAGGACGGCACGCCGCCACAGGTATCCCGGAGAGAGAGCGCTTTCTTTCTTTTGGCAAACCCACACCGACAAGAGATGGTGACGCCGCCGCCGTCACGCCCGCCCGGCTGGCGGATGGCAAGCGCACAGCGCGACTCCACGCTCCGCTCGTACCGCCCACCCGCAGGTGTGCTTCTCAGTCGCAGTCATGACCAAGGCCGGCAAGGTTCTGCTCGCGCGGCAGTTTGTCGAGGTGCCGCCTGCCCGCCGGCCTGCCGCCAGCCGCGCGTCCTTCTCCCTCTCCCTTGCTGGCAGCCTGGCCCGCATCGGACCCTACCCTCGGATCAGACAGTCGCGCCACGTCAGCCCGCCCGCTGCGAGGCGAGTCGCCTCGCTCCTCCCTTGAGCGCCGCACTCTGGCGCCACCTCGCGCCCAGCCGACCGGCCAGCACGGCCGCACGCGTCGCCCTCGCCACCAGCCTGGACCTTCCCACATGCCGCCTGGTCCCGCCCCTCCACCCGTCGACCTCACGCGCTTGCGCGTCTCCCTCGGCTGCAGATGAGCAGGATGAGGATAGAGAACCACCTGGCCACCTTCCCGAAGCTGATCGGGACGGAGAAGCAGCACAACACCGTCGAGACGGCGGACGTGCGCCCTCCGACCCAGCCCTCCCCGCCTCTCGCCCGGACGCCCACAGCCCGGCCCAGAGTCCGGCGGTGGCGGAGGAGGCCGGTCTCCGCCTCCCACTTCCCCCCTGCCGGCCAGCCTTTGCCGGACCCGCGATGTCGCGCGGCGCAGGTGCGGTACGTCTACCGGCCGATCGAGGGGCTGCTCCTCGTCATGATCACAAACAAGTGCGCGAGGGAGGACGAGGAGGGCCGCGACACACGCACAGCCTCACGCGCCGCTGCCCCCCCCCCCCCCCCCCCCCCCCCTTGCAGAGAATCCCAAACTCCCAAGGGACCTCGGGAACCTGCCTCTCTTCCCTAAGGGCCAGCCCATGGTACACACAATCGGAAGGGCCCAAGACGGGGCACCCAACTCATGGACGACCTCCCTCGCTCCCGAACGACCACAGCTCGGGGGCTCCTTCTGCCAAGGGAAACAAGGCCGCCGCCCTTTGCGGGGCCCGTACCTTTTCCCCCCAGAGGAGCCCGATAACCCTCCGACATGCCACGGGCGGCTCCTCATTCCGGGCCCAAGGGTTGGAACCCC